TTTTGCGGGGTAACCCCGTACCACTCCACTCTGCCAATCTAAACTTTAAATACTTATAAAGTTATAACTCATAAACTAATCGTCCTAAATTCGATTTTTATGAATCAAAATACYWAGAAAAATATTCTGCTTTGGAATATGAAATTAAAATTTTATGTTGTTGTTCAAAAAAGTAAAGAACTTAAAAAATGATAAGGATGAAAAATATTTAAAAATTATAATTTTTTAATAAAAACGTTGGTTTTTGAACAACTTGAAACTATGTAATAAAATATTTTCAAAAACATTAGTAATTTTTTAAATAATGAGTGCACTCATGAACATTATGTTCAATGATAAAAGAATCATCCGGTATAAGAAATGTTAGTTGTTTTATTTCTTGATTGAAGTGTATAACKATATGCAAATTTGATACAAAAATATTTTTGAGAAATAGCGATTTTCTACTACTTATACAGACAGATAAAATAGTGAGGATTAAAGTGTATTTTTCAAAAAGTTAAAATTGTACCAATAATTTTACTCAACATTAATAAACAATTGTTTTTTCAGATATTTAAATTTTGAATTGTTGCAAAATAATTGCAATACCCGTTATTTTCGGATTTATAAGCAGCAGTGTGGTACGAACACAATTGGMAAAACAAAACGATGACCTGCACACCGACTTCAATTTATCAACAATTAACAACTACACATAGGATCTAACGGCAAGCTTCTTCTGTAATCAACATTCTATGCAAAACAAGCGGTCCATAACATTTTAGGTTAAATATCGGCCCCATATCAACCGAAGACTAAAACGTGGTTGTCCTCATGACATCTATTAGATTATCTTCAATGAAAATTTTATTGTATATATCGTTCATTGCTTGTAACACTATCTTACACAGTGGCGGTTTTGATAAAACATCAAGGGGCGGGGGGCTATTTTCAATTTWTGTGCCCCCCACCCTCCATAATAGTTGCATATATAACTTATATATATGCATATACAACTTACAGAACATAACAGTTGGCACAAAAAAATCCAAGGGGGGGAGAGCCCCCTTCGCCCCCCCTAAAAACCGCCACTGATCTTATATCTATTAATGTATATCATCGCT